AGTCACTCGAGTATCACATCACAAGGATTCTTGTATTATTATTAACTAACCGAGTGGAAAATTAAGGGGGGTTTAGATTTCGATTTAGAATAATTTATTATGAAATAAGATAAAATGGATAATCTACTGATTCTGGTTCCGACTTATCATTGATTATTATAATTCCAACCTCCTAAGAGTAATATCTATTCCTACTCGATTATAAAACTCACTGACAAGTGCAACTGGTTTTATGTGATGTAAGTTCCTATTATCCGAAGTAAGCAAACAAATTTAAGCTCTTGCGAATTAAGCAAACGCGACTTGATCAAACACGATAACGAAGAAGCTATGCTAACATGATTACAGTTAACGAGCATACAACAATCAAATTAAATAAATACTATTATATGATAATCGAATTAAAAAAACAATGATCACATAACAACATTGAAAGGAATAGAATTTGGATTGAAACTAAAATAACCTCAAAGTATGATGGAACCTGTAGTCAGCTGATTTTTCCTTGGGATTAGTTCTCCATGAATCATGCAAAAGCAAAAGTAATTTTAATCATTGGAAAAAAAGTTATGAACAATACAACGACTCATGCCCTTTTAATAGAATAAGGGTTTCAATTCTAATACAAACCGGGTCGGAACTCTTAACTCAGGCCCAACAAATGACCCGATACAACTTAATTTCTAAAGTCAGAAGCTTCAACGAATTACTGGGAATAATGCACTTTGAATCAGCTTTTGACTCCAAATGAAAGTTGTAGCTCTTTCTCTCAACTTTCCAACTAATATTATAACGCACCAATCAGATTCCTGTAGCTCCAATTATGATTTTTTTTTTCATTGAAAGTTGTTAACACTGAAAATAAAATACGAAAAATCAAATAAAGGAAAAAATAAACTAAATCATAAAAACATCATAAAATAGAAAAATAAACAAAACAAATCATGGAAATTCCTAAGTACAAACATAAGAGAATGTGCATTAAAATGCACTGATCAAGGATCAAAAGCCCTATTTTAGAAGGTTGTACATATGCTTTGCATCATATAAGGAGAGCTTCAAGCTATGTATACATGTTATAGGAGTTAATGGTTGTTTTATAAAGGGACTATGTGGAGGCAAAATTCTGGCTGCCATAGTCAAGGATCTAAATGATTAGATGTTTCCGGTAGCATTTGCAGTTGTGGAGGGTGAAAATAGGGATACTTGGACATGGTTTTTAGAGCTCTTGATTGATGACCTTGGGGATAAAAATGAATGCCTCACATACACATTTATTTTAGATCAACTAAAGGTATTGTAAACATGCTTACTTTCTCCTTACATAATTATTTTATCTTATGTTATATACAGCGTTGTGATGTTGTATATTCTTTTGCAGGATCTACTACCAGCCATGTATGAGCTTTTTCCTGATGTTGAGAAATATTATGTGTGAGGCACTTGTACAACAACTTTAGAAAGAGGTATCCTAGAAAGATGTTGAAGGAAATTATTTGGAAGGCTGTAAAATCAACATATGCACAAGCATGGGAAAAAGAAATGAGGGGAATGAGAGTGATTAATGAAGATGCATATCTCCATATGATGAAGACCCATCCAATATATTGGAATTGATCATAATTTAGGACAACTAACAAGTGTGATGTAGTTCTCGACAACATGTCAGAAGCTTTACATAGTGTTATTCTTGAGTCAAGGTCCAAACCTTTAGTAACCATGTTGAAAGAGATGAGAACATATTGTATGGAAATATGGGCAACCAATAAGATGAGATTTTAAAACTTAGTTGATGATGAAGTGTTTCCTAATATAAAAATGAAGGTTGGAAGAACCAATAGTTACACCAACTTATGGATTCTCATGTATGTAAAAATGATTACACCAATTAAGGTTAATATTTTACATAAACTGATATCTGTAAACTGATATTGTAGGATGTTTGATGAATACATCTTTGAAGTAAGACATGTTGAGAATCTAGCAGATATGTTTTATGTGAATTTGAAAGAAAATATATGCTCTTGTAAAAGGTGGGAACTCACAGGACTGTTTGTGTTCATGCTTTGGCAGATATGAAGAGTAGGAACTTTATGATTGAAGATTATATCCCTAAGTATTATAGAAAATCAAGGTACATGTCAGTCTACAAACATGTGATTTATCCTGTAAATGGATCAAATCTCTAGGTTAGGACACCATATCCAGATGTGAAACCGCCTAAGTATAAAAAATTCTTGATAGACCAAAGAAGAGAAGAAATCTTGAGCAAGGGAAGATTGATGGGACTGACAGAAATATGATGAGAACAAGATTAATTGTTAAGTGCAGTAGATGCAAACAGCCAGGGCATAACAAATCAACATGTAAGGTGACACCAACTACTCAAGCTTTTCAATAACATGCTCAAGCTTCTCAGTAACCTGCTCAAGCTTCTCAACAGGCATCTCAAGCTTTTCCACATGCAACTCAAGCTTCTCAACATGTTGCACAAGCTTCTCAAGGAACTCAAGGTACTCAAACACCAAAAACTAGAGGAACTCAAGGAAATCAAATTACTCAAGCACCAAGAACTATAGGAAGTCAAGGTACTCAAGCACTAAGAACTAGAGAACACAAGGCATACAAGGTACTCAAGTAAGACATGATTCACATTCTAGTCAACAATCAACATTGGGAAAGCCAAATAAGTTGGGTGTTAGGAGGGATTCAACACCATATGTACCACCTAGATCTACAACTAGATTAACTACAACCAGGAATGTAGTTAGCCCAATAACAAGGAGAGTTACTCTAACAAATAGGGTCACGCCAAAGAAGAACATTTAGCTTGTATTTTACATGTGTTTTTGAACCACTTTTGGGATGTTGTATGTTTAATGGTTTTACTATTATTATGGACCACTTTTGGAAGATTTTTTTTTTATGTTAAGGTTATGTCTTTCATTTTGAAATGTTTTCAGTTAGGTAATGTTTAATGAACATGTAAATTTTTCCTAAAATTCATGTAATGTGTTGTGAACATGTGTATTGAACATCTTTATCTATTAATGTCAATTATGTCTTACTGTCAACTTTGTATTACTATCAATCCAGTTTACTATAAGGCCATAATTTATAAAATGGAATATAAACAATCCAGTAGGCATCAAATTATACTAATACACTACCAAAACATTGAATTGACTCATACATGGAATTTAATGGTTACATACCAAAACATTGGACTGATTCATATATGGAATTCAACTGATACATCCCAAGACAGTACATAATCTTAAAACATGAAAAAATCAGTACAGATAAAATTACAAAACACATCATATTCCAAAAAAAAAAATCCACTTCAAAATATTATTAATCTGACTTTGAAGTTCACTCACCTCTTTCCTTAATTCTTCATTTGCCAACCTTACTTTTTCAAACTTCATTTTTGCACCATCCATTTCCTTTGCTAACTTTTTCAACCTAGACATAATAAATTGCCTTTTCTCATCTACAACATCCTCATAGAACCATTCGAAATACCCATACCTAGGTTGCAACGACCCCTGAAATTTACAAAAGAAGCTCAAACAATGAAACCTCAAACTGAAATTACCATACGGTCGATTTGTACATAAAACATGAATACCTTAAAATGAGGACAACCCTAAAAATATTTTTCATAACTCTTGGTTGCTGTTTCCCTATGAAGAACAACTTTGTCTCCACAATGGCATAAGACTTTCTATGGCAGATTCGAGCTCGTGAACACATTGGAGCTCAAACTTTCATAGCTTTTCTTTCAAGGACGATGAACAACAACCAGATTTCATGACTACTTCAATGTTAACCTTCAATTTCTGGAAGTCGGGAATAATTTCAGAAGAAAAAAACTAACACCTAATTCGATTTTGAGATGTAGACCATTTTAACGAAGATGAAGTTCAACTACCATTTCAGTTGTCACACACACACACTCATAAACTAACGTTTGCGTGAAATAGACGGAAATGATTCATCTGTCACCATTTTAATATTTAAGGGATCGATTTGAAGGTTTTAAAAATTAAGAGACTAAAATAGACCCCGAGGTAAAGTTAAGGGACGAAAAAAAGATACTTTTCCAGAAAATAAAGGCATTTGTATACGGTGTCAAATACGGTATTTAGAATTTGGTGTTTAAATATTATAAAAATCGATATATCTAAACAAAATTTGACTATTTTTATCATATTTATTGATAGTGTATTATTCATAATTAATATTTTTTTAATATAATTTAGGGCATGTTGTTTTACTTTTAAAAAAAAATAGAATTTTTATATTTAAAAAAAATTATATAAAAAATATTTTAAAATAGTAAAAAAATTTAAGCTTGTTTTTTTTTTAATTGAAAGATTATTTTAACATTCAGTGACATGGTAAAATCACTTTTATTTAAAAAAATATATCTCAAAAATAATTTTTTTATAAAAAAAACTATTTAAAATAACTTTAAATTTAAGTAACTTTTTAAAATCTGAATACCTAAAAAAATTATAATAAAAGGATGAAATACCTAAAATAATATTTTATGAGAAATTATTTAAACTTATTTTTTATTTAAAGCTTTTTTAAAAAAAATATTTACAAATTTATGTTAGAGGAAAATATGTAATACTATAAAAAAAATTATAAAATTCAAACAAACGAGAGTAAATGAAATCTAAGTTTTAAATAAAATTAACTAGAGTAAATGTGAATAAGTAATTACTCAGAGTGATCTGTGGTTAAATTTACATACACTCTGTTGCAAACAGAGTGTATAATTTCATATTGACAATACCAAACAACAAACTAAAACAGTTGAGATAACACTAGCACAATATTGACCAAGGATTAAAATTTGAGTCACTCGAAATAATAATTGAACTCATCCATATACTTATTTATTTATTGCATGCTAGAGATAAATAAAACCAAAAAATAACTGTGTGAGTAATGAACATAACACACTATGTACAAATCAAATAAAACTATATAAACAGAAACAAATTGATGATATTGAAGCTTGATACCAACATGAACATTATGTACTCAAATCCAAATTTTGTTGCAGCAGAAGAAGTGGTGGACTTAGTTTCATGTTTCCCAATATCAATCATGATCTCAAAATGGCATCTACCTTGAGAAGGTGAAGGGTCAATGTTGGTAATAACCGACAAACCACTAAAGTTACAAGAATCTTTCCTCTGATCCGCCGTTTGATAATACATATTAAAAGCATATGAAGCATTACCCTTTGTGTCCAAGCCACTACAAGAAGAACCAGGAGCAAGTGATGTACAATCAGCATAAGTACAAGCTTTGCTCACACTTTGTGCAAAACTAGGATCCATAACATTGGCTTGCGATGAAACAACACACCATTGTTTGGTTAAGTATCTAACACCTTTTGCACCAACAAGTGATTTTCCACCTCCAAGATTCAAAGGGTATTTCATTGATCCATCAAAGTTGAAAATTCCCCAATGTCTTTCAAATGGGCCAGGGTCAATGCTTTTAAGATCTTCGTCTAGAAGGGAAAACATGTAGATTTCAGGTGGGGTTGGTCTTTTAGGTGTACCTTGTTTTTTCACTATTCTATTGATAAGTCCTTGGTTGAATCTTTGAGCACTTTTTATATTTGCATTTGAGTTTCCATCTGTTGGCCAACCAACTTCTCCAATGATTACATTCATTGAGCCAAAACCGTTTTTTTCAAGAGCTGAAATGAGTGTGTCGAAATTCGCATCGAAAACGTTTGTGTAACTTATTGAACCGTCGACTAGAGGGGAAGCTGAACCGTCGAAGAAAGCGAATTCTTTAGGGAAGTTAGGATCGGCGTCGAGGCTTAGGAAAGGGTAGATGTTGAAGGTGAGAGGGCCATTGTTTTGGCTAAGGAATTTGATTATTGACATCATTTGATTTTGAATGTCTGGTCTGAAGTTTCCACCGGACGGTAGACCGGTGTCGCTTTGGTAGACATCAGCATTTAGAGGAGTTGTCACCTTTACTTGTCTTCCTAAGCCTGCTTTTATAAGGGCTGCTTGAATGTTTTTTATGGCGGGAAATGTCGATTGTACGAATCTTCCATTGTATGTTTTTAGAAAAGCTTCATTACCTACTGCAACATACCTGTGAATTTTACAACATGCAACAAAAATGACTTTTTTTAGTTCATTAATAGTATTTGGAACCAAATAAACTGAGATTGAGATGGACTAGATATTACGAAGAACAATATTATATTAGTACCTTATATCGACGCCATTTTTGGATATGAAAGTGGAAACATTTTGATCAACCCATGCAATAGCAGCATTAACATTGCTACCAATGGAGTCCAAGAGGTTATTAGGTATGCCAACCATGACCTGAATGCCAGAATTTCCAAGAGCTTTCAAGGCCATGGGATCAGCTTCAAACAGCTTCACTTTGTTGATTCCATTGTCTCTCATAAGCTTCACAAGTATTTGAGGAGGAAGAGGATGTGTTGTAATGGTTCCCCAGTTACAAGCAAAACCAAGGGTGCCTTTTGTTAAACTTAGTATACAAAATGCCAAAAAAAAGCATGTACTAAAACAACGTTGGAAATGGAATCCCATGTTGTTGTTTTTCTTGAGTTCTATATGTCCTAACATGCACCCATGTATATGAAGATGATGTGATTCTTGAATAGAAAAAGTAAGGTCCTTTTTTTTAGTAGAAAGTTACGTAAAAGAATTGCATGAAAACTCAAACAAGCACTTGATTCCAAAACCCGTTTCATGACACCAAGCATAATCATGTTTTGTTTGAAAATGCGTACGTTGTAGGAGAGGGGAAATGATGCAGCAAAGAAAGGTAGAATTAAACTAAAAGGAAACTCAAAATTCAGTTGTTTATTTTATTTTCAATTCCAATTGCTTCTTATTCCAATTATGGGCCGATGGACCTTGGAACAAAGCTTTAGGATGCGAGTTTTTTTAACAACAAAAATATATATTTTAAATAAAAAATCACTTTTATTATTTTTATAATATTTGTTTAGGATTTTGTGAATATTATTTTATTAGAAATATGTTTTTAATTCTAAAATAAAAAGCTAATCCTAATAGCTTCTCAAAATCTATTTTTTAAAAACAAGAAATTAAAGTTTAAGGCTTCAATGTAAGAGTGAAAACCCTAGGGATATTTTTGAGATTTTTTTAGATGTGATCGGAGATTCATCTTCGGACGTTAAGAACATTCGATATTTTTTATAATGGTGTGAGAAAATATATAAGAGTGGAAACTCTCGAAGTAGATTTCCTCACTTTATTTATATCCAAAGTCAAGTTAAGTTTCCTCATAGAACATGATCAAATACAAAAACGCAAACTTATATTGGACTAAATAAATCACTAATTAAACCTCTAAAATCATATACTGACCAATTTATTTCAGAAAATTACCAAAATAATAAGGTAATTTCTCATCCCACCTTTGTTATATGAGACTCATTCTTGAAAATCTGAAAATATTTCTGGATGAATTCGGATATGCATTTTCGAACGCGTTAAATATTATTTTTTAGCAAAATTTAGTTCGGAGATGCGTCTTTAAATTCATTCCTAGAGTAAATTCGGAGATGCATGTTCGAAGTCACATGTCGTCTTAAAATTCGGAGATGCGTCTCCGAATTGTTTCTTGAGTGATTTTTCCATAATCAGTTTTCTATTATTGTGGTATTTTCAATCAAAACTAATTTCAATTCGATTAAAAATTTTGTTATTTGTTTCAACGATTAATAAAATTGAATATTATAGAACCACGTAAAGCTTTAATAAAACTGAATATTATAGAAATCGAATATATTAGTACAACAATTATTCTGAAAGTTGATTAAAATTAAACAAAATACAATCAAATACAACTCGATTGTATATGCCTAATCCTAACACTCTGGTTTCTCCTTTACCTACGGTAAACCACAGCACTTCGTGCCTAGGATATAATGGATTGTGCTAGTGCGACCACTTCATCTCCACCTCTCGCAAACACTCTGGTCTCTATGTTCACACGTGCAAGCCGCATAATAATTTGACAGCACGGGAACACGTTGACGTTATGGTAATCCATGGTCTACTCATTCTTCAGAATCTCTTCATGAGCCAGCCTAGGTGGACGTCCGGGAACGTCTTGTATCATATAAAGGTGTAATACCTTGTAGAACCATGTCATGTAACCCTCCACATAAGACCACTCAGATGTGACTACCTGGCTCCGGTACCAGACGACTCTCAAAATCCGCTAGAATGTCATTCAGTTATTTGCGAATAATAGTGATGGGAATAACCTGCAAGAGGGACCTCAGAATAATCTGGACGTAGCCAAAATGCTGCATACACCGCTCAGGCAGATACTTGCACATGATGTTGATCTCACATGCCAACCATCTAGAATATAAGGAAATATGGTCGAATGGAATTATATCCCGGTGAGCACCTTATGGCCTTCATCTTACTCGTCATGCTGAGTCCGATCGATATACACACGATACTACAAGATATGGTCATTCCCCCTGCTAGAAACAAATCGACAAGCATGTGGCCAATTATGAGTATATAATGGATCATGATTAAACTTATGGATGCAATGATAGTGAGCAAAGCTTCATCCCTGAAAATGAATAAGAAAAGAAAGTATCAGTAACAACTATGAAAAAATATTAGTTTGTAGCAATACTGAAATTTAGAAATTACCGTAAGTAGGATGCGTGAGCTTGTCATCTACTTCGTCGTCCATTTACAATCTTCGCTCAGGTTGGAGTACAGATAAACCAAGCATGTTGCCCCCCCAATTCCACTTGTCAATGGTCTCCAAATTAATGAAATATTTGAGGTAAGTTACATCCACGTAATTTTCAATTTTGTCCACAAACATGGACGTGCCAACCAAAAATAGGAAATAACACCTCATGGCACACTCCTTATGGTAATCCATAGATCATCAGCGCCTGGATGATCGACTATCTCCAAATTTTATCCTACACAAGTCTGACAACCAAACAAACTTGACATGTGCATCCCTGATGCTTCTACATTGTTCAAAGGCTTTTACAGAGTCAACTCCCAAATAAACTTCCACAATCTGCTGTGCTTCAGCCCTGTTGATCTTAAAACGATCAAACAACCTTCCTTTTATGGGAAGGTGTAGGAGACATGCTACATCATCTAGCATAATAGTCATTTCACCAATGGACATGTGGAAAGATGAGGTCCCATTGTGCCACCTCTCAACAAATGCAACATGCATGTCATAGATGATGTTGGTGTACCTTGTAGCACAAAGACCGGTTAGCTCGGAATTCTATAGTACATTTTAAAACCAGGCTTTCTCGGGCTGGTAAAGATCGTGAATCTTTCTTGCATGATTCACACTTTTGAGATAGTCAGTTGAAAATAAAATATAACATGATCAGTTGAGTTGAATTTAGATACAAAAATAAAGGCAGTTCAGAAATTTATCTCTCCTTCCCAGACATGCGGAGCCACATGCTCTCCTAAGTATATGAGTAAAGATGTGTTCGTGGATCATCCTAAAAACAGGTCTATAAGGAGGACATCCTCAGCAAACTGCACCTAGAGTGCAACTAGGGCATCCTTATCATGGTGCGTACCACTCTGAAATCCTAATCCTTCTGATAGTCGACTACTCCTAGAGCCCGACATCTCCCTATAGTGAGGCTGAGGAGGGGAGGCTCTAGCCTGTCGTGCTGACGAGCCCTCTCGCAACGAGCAAAGGAAGTTAGAGTTAAGGTGGGTCGCCCAAGTCTCAACCTTTAGTTTTTAGCCATGTTGGAAAAAAAACATAACAAAAATAAGAGGAAGGTACGAGTTCGAATATGCATATCAGAAAAGTTGAAATATAATAGTTCGGATATGCATATCTGAAAATAAAACTTCGACTTCAACAATGGCAAGATTGTTTCTGCAATGCCTTAGCTCATCAAAATCCAACCAAACTCATCCAAATCATATAGAGTCTTCAAACTTGTACACTAACCTATTTGAGCTATCTAATGCATTAAAACTAGTACATTTGAACTAATACATTAATCAAAAATCAAAATAAATTAAATAAAAAATTTACTCTTAAATGTATTAATGAGAGTGTAGAGTGCTCTGATATTGAATGTAGTAGGTAGAAGGAGTTAGGAATGGTAATAAACACAAGAATGCAGCTTCAAAACTTGATCTTGAGGGTTTGTAAATGGATTAAGAGGGAGGTAGAGAGAAACTTTTGTTTTTCTGAAAAATGAAGGAGGGAGAAGAGGGAAGGTCTCATACGACCTTTAAATAAGTCCATCTATTTTAGAGATACATCTCTAAACTAATTTTTTGAACTAAAAAAAAAAAAAGATGTGTCAACGAACACATCCTTCAATTGACTTCGGACTTTCATCACCAAATTTTATTTTCAAAAATACATAATTAGGTGCGTTCGGAGATGCATCTCTGAAAACATGGAGCTTTTTGAGAATTTCACACAAGACTTAGGAGAAGTAGCAAGGATGGGATGAGAAATCGCCAAAAATAATCATTAAAATCGCTGATGATGAATCTTTTAAATATCAGTTCTTAAAAAACTACTCAAGAATTCAGCCTACAATTTCGTGAACATTTTTCTCATCAGCTTTGTTAGTCTTCCCAGAATATTTATTAAACTCATGATTTGTACAATACATAGATAAAAAAGAAAAAACATAAATTGCAGACTGACAGTATTATATCGAATGGACTTTTTCTACAACTCATAAACTCAGTCTTGATTCTGCATCACCAAGGCCTATTCAACATAAAATGATTATATCACAAACTTACAAGGGGCGTGAGTAAGAGACAATTTAACGGTGTGATTGAAGTCCAAAAAAAATAAGACAGGTGAAAAATAGAGAGAAACTACCCTGTGTTGTATACACTATGAATATTAATTGACAAATATTTGAAATTTCTCCTAATGAAACACACGAGGGTTTCACTTGGTAGACAGCTATTATCATACAACAAATGCCTGATTGAAAACCTCACTCAAACCTTCTGCTAATCCAAACAATGCACAGGCAAATGGAGTTAATGGCAAGCGAATTTTGGCATGGCACGGCGAGGATGAAACCAAAATTACATTTCTATTGACATTCTACAAAACTGTTGGTGCCAGCACAAAATTTTCATTAAATGATTAATACAAGAGACTATAATCTTTCTTCTTTCCAAGCCATCTAATCTAAACTTGACATCTGCATGTGCTGAAGAATTTGTTTGAGTATCCTAAAAGCAGAATTACCAGATAGTTATGGTAGAAGGGCTTTCAACTGAGCTTGGAATAAATCACCAAGAGCTCCCCGAACATCCATCTGATCAAAACAAAGGATTATCAGTTCATCAGAGAAAGCTCTTTTCAAAGACCCACTCCCAAAAAAAGGTGACAGCACTATATATTTAGAATCCAATATCTTATAAGTATCTGAGTATATGTAGAAACATTACTGGCTATTGGTATATATTTAATCACTTCAACTGAAAAAAACTACTCCCTCTATCACTATTTTTAGGAGTGACGCTTTTTACTTATAGTATTAAGA